ACGTGCTCGGGTTCCATTTAATGACGGCTTCCCTTGAATTTTTCCTTTTTCCACATCATCGGGAGAGTTGCCAAAATTCTGAAAGGCAACTCAGCGGTGGCTACCTTGAATTTTTCCTTTTTCCACATCATCGGGAGAGCCAAAATTCTGAAAGGCAACTCAGCGGTGGCTTGCGTTCACGCCCTGCCCTGGCACCGCCTTATTATTTTGTCTTGTTTTCTGAACGCTTTTGGACAAAGTCTGAAAGTTAAGTCTGTGAGTGATGTTTGTTGCGCGGGGACAGGAAACGTGCGTGTGTCTTTTCTGACAGTGAGGCACAAAAAGGTTTGCTTTGCCAAACAAGCGACAGAGCGCACCTCTGCTCTTCCATCGACCGGACCGGCAGATCCGTAATCTAATTGGCACAGCCAGCAAACGGGCACGTCTCCGCGGAACGCGCCTCGATTTTTCCAGGGAGTCGTCGCCGCAAAATGTCTGTTTTGTCACCTCTCGTCCTGAAAACGGCATTCCGCAGGGACGCCGATGCGAGGACAAATGGCCTCTCGGGAGCAAGTGTTTGTTGAAGCGCGCCTCTTTCCATTCCGAACGGCAACACTCACGCCACGCCGCTTCTGGAAAAGCGTCTGGCACCCCTGAATATGAATGCCTGCAAACTCGGGCCTTCTTATTTAGCCCGTGACAAGCGGCGCCATTAGCTGCCCGGTGGCGCTTTTCACTTGTCAAGCCTGATAAGACGTCCCGTCACAAGCCACGGCCAGCGCATGAATTTTTCCCGCCGTTATCCGAGACAGGTTCTGTGAGGAGAGCGCGGCACTCCCGACCGATTCATTCCATCTCACTTTTTTTCTCCCGACTGTCGCCTCGCATCCACTCACCGTGGATGCGGGCAGGCTCCAATGCTAGCCGGGGAGGCGGTCGGTTGTTTTCGCGGTCGTTACGCTGATGCGAAGAGAACGTTGATGCTCCTGCCTCCGCGTGGCGCTTTTGTGGATGATTGACTCTAATGTCAGAGCTGAGTGCCTGGCACAACCGTTTAAATGGTCTGATCTACACTTGGGCCTGACCTCCCTCGACTAATCTTTGCTTGCGTCGGACCTCTCGCAGCTGATTGCGGTGATGGGCAAGACGTCCATACAAGTGATTATCATGAGTGTTGTTTCCCCCGCGTTGACATCACACCTTGGCCCGCTCGCTTCCTCATCCTCACTTTTCCCTCGGCAACCTGTTTTCACGGGGCCAGTTAAATGAGCCCGGGGTCCGTTTGATGAGAGCCCGTCCGGGCAAGACGTGACGTGTCGCGGGACCACGGGGCCATAAATCATTCCCGAGAGCGGCGGCTGTGGCGGCCCGGA